TGCCTGGAAAAAATAGAATAGCAGTGTCATTTTGTTGACATTTCATGCATAACGGTTTTAGATAATAATTTTACTTTGAAGTTATCACTGTTAGTAGTTATATCACACGTTCAAACGAGATATGAAAAATTCATCAACTTAACTTTAACTTGTTGATAGGAGAAGACGTAGTAAAAAAACAAATGTGTTACCTAATCTAAATTTTAACGACATTTAACGAGTGACATTTCATGAAAAATCTTGTGTCGTTTCGTTTAGATATGGTTAGTTCTTTCCTTGACTGATCAAGTAGGTATGCCTTAGAATGTTTCAGAGAAATCTTTTTTTTTTTATAAAGCAAGTTACCTATTATGTGGCAAATACGACAAAAACTTTATAAGAAAAGTTGTTTAGAATCAACATCAAGGCCCCTATATCAAATTTCAATATCATCGGCCAACTAAAATTTTTCATTTTTTCTAAAATAGCTTTTTAGCAACCTCGGCCAACTTTGAACTCCTACATTTCCTTTTATATTATTTTATAAATCAAGGAATTTTATTTGTAACAAAGACTGCCGCAAAACTGTATTCATAACAAAATTAATCTGTTCAACTTGATAGTCAAACACTATTTTATTAAACTTAAACTCTTTTTGAAATAAAGTGGTTTTCTTAAATTTGCCGTCAAAGCGATTCATGAAAGTTTTATTGTAAACGAACTACCGTATTGAAAGTTATTAATCTGACATTTGACACCTCGCCGGGTGTCAACTCCTAAACTCGTCTCTCGCTGCGGCACTGTCAACATACCAGGTAAATCTTGATTTAGAAGAAAAAAGTAAAAAGAGTGATATGTACTTCTGTTTTATTGAGTGAAAATTTCAAATCTATTTTAGTTTTGAAAAAAAATGCAATTGAAATAACAAAAATTTTCTGTTTTTGGGTTTAGTACTTTTCGGTTCAAAAATAGTCAAAAGTACTAATCTGAAAGCCTTTTTTTGTATAATCACGTTTTTCAACGACCACACTCAGAAAATTTGATCTGTCTGTGATGACGCAATAAGCCAATAAGAAATTTTATCACACATAACAGCACGTCCCAGAGTGCATAAGAATCCCCTAGTGATGTTAAATGTTACTCACTAGGATAAACAAGCGTGCGTGCACATTGATGCAAGTTATGACAAAAAGTTTATGTAAAACCTATTTCATTGTAATTTTTGAGCGTCAAAACGCAAGAAATCAGCATTCTATGTTAAGTTTTTCAACTTCTTCACTGTAATGTTCTGAAAGTACAACTCAATACCTACTAATTCATCAGAGGATTATTTCTTTTACAATAGTTTTGGTTAACGATAAGCTTTGTTTTGATTAAAATGACGTGAGGGGAAAAGATGACGAATTTTTAACGGGGAAAGATGACGATTCATTTTTAATTCTCCTGTAAGCCAGCACCTTCAACCACAGCCTATAATCTCCCAAATTATTTCTCAATTTATGGATCTAACTCCATCTACTTCTTCGGCTCTTCCTCCACTTCCAGTGGCAAATGAAAAGACTGTCAGAAAACAAAGGAAAAAATTGGCATTGTTTCTTTTGTCGGGAACTCCTGTAAAAAAGGTGTTGGAACAGAAAAAATGCAAGAAAGGAAAAAGCTGAAAAGACAGAAAAGTATGACGAAGAAGGCAAACATAAAGAAAGCACGTCGACAGTTGGACTTCTCTTTTTCTTCCGACGACGAGCCATCTTATACTGTACTTTATTTACCTCGACACTGATGATGATATGGACCCGCCGAATTTCAAAGAAGACAAATTGTGCATTATTTGCTCGGAAAAAGACAAGGATGAATTGTGGTACCAGTGTTTCAAGTGTTTCAAGTGAATATATTCTGAGTGTTCCGATGGAATCAGAAGAAAGCCAACCATAGGCTTTACAAATGCGGCTTCTGCACTTCTTTTCAGTTCTTTTTCTTATTTTATTAAAGTTACTCGTTAATAAAGTTTTTTTTTTATGTTTTCAAATCTGAAGTTAAGCTGGGGTAAGATGACGAAAATTACATTTTTCGGGAAAACTCGTGTTTTGTCCCTTTGAAGTTGAGAGTGGTATTAAGCAAGACACAGATGAAGTTCTCATAAAAATTTTAGTTCTTAAATCCATTTACAGTGGTCAGGATAAATAGTAGTTAACCTCGTCTTACCCCGCCTTCCCCAACAGACATTATCAACTAGCATACCTATACTATACAAGATGTTCTGTTTTGAAATACAGACATTATCAACTAGCATGCCTATACTATACAGGATGTTCCGTTTTTTGTGTTGTTACAAATTGAAACAGGTGATAGAATATTCAGTTTTAAGACAAAAGTTACCAAGACAAAAAATACAATATACTCGTATTTTCAATATTTCAAAAACTATTTTAGATAAAATTACAAAATTTATTCACTAAACCAATTCAAAAATATCGAACTTTTTATATAGGGTAAAAGTACCATAACTATTTTGGCTATAGTTTCTTGTCTCTTTCGGCAACAAAATCTTAAATTCCATGGTTTCTCACAAAGAGGTATTTTGCTTTGTTTCGATAAAACTTTCTGTTTTTGAATAAAATCAATTTAAAATTTACAGTTGCAACTATAAACAGCATTAAAATTAATTTTTTTTTATCTTATACCCTTCCAGCCTCTTATTAAAAATTTTAACATTTGACTTTTGAATTCGTTTAGCTGTACAAAGGTTACCAACCGTACCAAATTTTGTAATTTTATCTATTCTGAAATATGTATTAGAAAAACTTCCTTTACTCTTATTTTTCGACACATGTTCATGGGAAACTTTTGTCTTAAAATTGAATATTCAATCATCTGTTTAAATTTGTAACAATAAAACAGAACATTCTGCATAACTGTGTTACTATGTTCTTAAAATATTGCTTTTCTGCTTATTTAGACATGCATGCAAAATCCAAAACGTTTTTATGATTACGGTTTTAAAATATCTGGGGACCAATTGTCTATAAATTTATGCACAAACTTCATAATGGTAAGATCCAATACTAATTATTGTTCCAGTAACCTACTTTAATTTAGGGTTGCAATGTTATTTGCATAATAAAGTCAGAAGTACATACCTATTTTAGGATTGTAAAATTTTTGAATGTTTGTATGATTTTTTGTTTATTTAACTTTTAAGAAAGATGGATTATATAATCTACAACCTACAATGTAGCAAAAATAAACAGTTTTACATTTAGTCAATTAATAAACTTCCAACATACAACAGCCATAATTTTTATGTTTTTCGACTGACGCAGACTGGTCTAAACGTTTTACTTCAGTTTTGCTTATAATAGCATCACGGTGGAAGATGTATAGTAATATCTCTTTTTTATGGAAAAAGTTTTAATGCAATTTGAGCTTTAACAGATTTCACTAGTATCTGTTGTGGAAGAATAATCTCTTTAATTTAGTTAAAATATTGTAATAAGTTTTCCGATTGAGGGTCCTATGCAGTGGGTTCACAAATGTACGTAAAATAGCCAATTTAGTAGTCTTCATTGTTAAATACGTTAAAATTTCAGTTGTCTGATTTAAAATTGTACGATTATCAAATCTGTTCAAGGTTCCGTGTTTCTTTCTATTTTGTTTTTTTTCTTTTACCTTATCGATGGTCCTAAGTTTAGAAGGAGCCTTCTTCTACCTCCACCATTCTTACGTTTTGTAATGTTATTTGGCAGAGATTTGTGTTGGATTTAGGTTGTTCAAAGCTGAGTAGTGAAGATTAGCATAAAAACAATTCTTTCTTAAAAACTTAAGTTTTTGTTTAAAGTTTATGTAAAAAAATGTTAGCAGAAATAAATACAATATTAAACATTTTTAATTCAAGTTGTCAAACTTAGTTTTAGAATGATCATCGGCAGACCGCTTTTGCACAAACTTATGAAAAATCAGAAAAATTTTAAAATCTGAGCAAATTGTTGCAAAATGTTGTTTAGACTTTTAGGGATCATAGGGACTGGAAAAACAAACATAAAATGTTTTTAGGGCTAGTTTGAGCATAGTATAATGAGTATTAACAAGTAAGTAAAGTCTGTCGAAAAATATACCTACCTACCTACCTACGGTGTTAACAATCTTTTATGAGTTTGATTCTTTAATAAGTTTATGGCTACCCCAACAGAAAGTATTTTCAATACGTAAAGTATATTTGAATTTGGCGGTATCCGAAGACCGTTGAGAGGACCGGGCTGTCATATCTGTATAATCTGTCGTAAAACCTTTAGTTGTAGACTTTTTTATATTATACAGACACCTCTTAATACCGACATTTTTAAATATTTTTCCTTAAGAAAGTTCTTAAATACATATGTTTTATTACATATTAAGTTTTTTTAGCCTAAAATTTTCTATTTTCTACAACCTCCGACACTAGATACCTAGTTGAGTGTCTGATGCAATACAGGGGTTTTACTCTATTTTTTTCTAGTGGCTTGGCATAAAATTATATTTAATTTTTTGTTAATTGAATTTAGGAGTTGACTGTGTGTCTCTGTGAAATATAAATAACAATAACAAGAACTCTCCATCATACCTACTCGACTATGTCGAACGTCTCAGAACAAAATAAATTTGTGTAAGTGTAAGGATAATTTTTTGTAATAAGGCCCTGTTATTTAAAATTAAATTAAAATGTTTATTTTAAAAACTGTTGAAACATTTATTCAGGTCGAGCGAGGGAACAGGCAATCGAGATGCAAAGTTCTGGCAGTGGAACACGTGCCCATTCGAAGTTTTATTTGGAGTTAGTCCTACCTATGTGGTGTAATTCTAATTACATAGTATCTTACATGTTCTAGACCCTCCCATGTAACGTCTTTTGATTTTCCTATTGGTTTATTGGTAAGACCTTGTGGTGCGTGATTGGCCAAAGCCGGCACCAAAATCGAAAAAGGCGCATGAGCGAAGGTACAGCGGCAAAACTCACTGGAAACTGTTAGTGTTTCTCCGGTTTTTGATGAGAGAACATATGACGCTTAGAACTGGAAAGACGTAAACACGAGGTCTGAATGTGAAAAGCACGCGTTTGGAAATTTCGATTAAAACTAAAAACAAATTGTGTTGTACGGACTGTCCGTTATGTTTAATAAAAAAACTAAGTGTCAAAAACTCTTAATTTTTTTGAGTATTTTCTACTTTGCTCAAGCTGCCTCCTCCACAGGGGCAACGTCTAATGGTAAGTTTAATACTTTTAGAAGACCAAAGCGGTCTCCTACAGAATTTCATCTTGGCGTAGCTGACAAGCTTTGAGGGATGGCTAATTTCATTTATTAATGTTTGAGATAGTTCTTTGAGCTTTCCTCTTGTTATTAAATTAGGAATGTACGATTCACATTCTGAATGTTTATTTCGTTCGATTCTAATTTTCCAATTAGAAAGCTCAGAGCTTTCCTACAGAATTATTCGCGTATAATGAAAACATTTTTCTTTCAATGCAATCAAACTTTAAATAGCTGAAATTTAATTAAAAATTATTTCTTAGAGGTAGAACTTACCCGATATGTACTACTTATTTCTCACCCAATTATGTTTTCTTGAACAAATTTTCCTTTATATATTTCTTATTGCATTTGTTTGAAATTTATATACAATCTTCTCTACATTCAGCAATATAGGTCACCATTCAAATGCATTAAAATGTATCGTAAGAACTGCGACACAAAATGAAAATATTTAAATTTAAAATAATCACAGCATCTTGCATGTGTTTTACAAAAAACACCTTATTACTAAAACTTACTTTACGCACTACCAAACAACGTCAAAAATAAATGTTTAGTTTTTTGTATGAGATTTAAAGCTTTAAATAAAATGAAGAAAACATTTGTGGTTAATGTAGAGTAATATGACAGGTGCAGCGTGAAAATAAAATAAAAATTTGTTAATCCCGCCCTGCGTCTGAATATGAGATTTTTATTAAAGTTGATACGTTACATACGGACACACATGTTTGGTTGATGATACAAAATTCACAGCAATATTATTGCTGTTTTATCAAAAAACCTCAAACGTTTGACGCAGAAAACAAATATGTGTTATTTACATTTTACGAGTATTATTAATTTAAAAAATCACTATGATAATCCGCCGATTTACAAATTTTTATTAGAGGTCGGGAAATACATTATTCCTTTCTTAGGAAACGTTACAGGCTTATCAAATGTCAAAAAACGCAATTTGTTGTTTGCGTAGAAATTACGTCAATGCAACAACTTTATTAAAAAAATCAGATTTTGTATTATCTCACTGAGATTTTTTTACAAGCACCCTCAGGCTTCAGTTAACCGCTCCTCGTAGTAACAATATATTTCTCAACTTGGTTGTAATGTACTATTATTATTTTTATACATGATATAAACAAAAATTTTATTTAAAAGTTAATCCACAACATTATTTCTAACGAGGGTTTTTATTAGGTATTTGCTATTAGTGTTTTTGTAAGTACATATTTTAATAGTATTTAAATCGTTGAATTTTATGTTTTAACTTAACATTGGCAAGTAGTAAATGTATACGAGATGTATCATTGCATACAGTTAGACACATTAATAGATTTTGTTTTTAAACTAACAATATTTTAATTGAATTTGAAATAGTGAAAGTGATTTCATGTATGCTTTTGGAAATGAAATGTGTTAGTCATTTTCCATCCAAATATTAAAATTTCCAAAAACAATCGTTATCTGGAAAATGATCGAAACAAATCATTTGCTGGTTGAATGAAGCGAATTTTCGATATTGACAACACATTTCTTTTAAAATCATGTCACAACTCACAACTGTATTAAGAACGAACTACTGTAATAATTAACTACAAACATATGATCTTTACATGTAAATGTGACAACAAATTTTAATTATTTTGTTAGATTTAGCGCACAGTCTTTTAAACTTGACTTGAGGTTAACACTTTCAATTTTGCTACATATAAGAGTTAAAAATTTACCACCAAATTTTGTTATCAAATGCTATCGAATACTTTGAATAAAGGCTTCAACATCTTTTAAAATCTTCTGTATGAATTTTAAAATAAAGCTTTTTTATTATGGTTTTAAATTTGAAGTTTTATTATGGTATTTTTTGTCAATTTTTAGTTTATTTAATTTTTAGTTAATTTTTAGTTTTATT